GTTTCAGGGTTAGCAAATTTGATCATTTTTAAAAATAAGTTTTAGGAAAGTACGCCATTTTGAATTTAAAAAATTTGACTTTTATTTTTGTATTTACATTCAATCACTCCAAAATACTTTCTGTACCAAGTTTTGTAAAAATCCGTTATGATTTGATAAAGTTATTGAAGGTTTTAATTGTGTAATGCATTTTAATTTTTAACCTGTTTGATTTTTGTATTTATATATGATGCATTATTACATAATAGGTTTATTATCGTATTTTTTTTTAGTTTTTATATAAGTTTAACAATTGCAATACTTTAAATTTATTTTCCCTAAGATTTTTCTGAAATACAGTGGCGTTCGTATTTACCCCCATATTTTAGGAAAGTTGCAAAGTATCGAGGTAAATACGAACGCTAAGTTTCCTGCGATTGTAATTTATCAAAAAATTTTTCTACCCCATAAAATTGTTCTATGAAAGTAAAGTAACAACTTCATGCACCAGAATACCGGAAGTATTTTTTTTTAAAGAAAAAACTTATGTTATTGTTGAAACTTACTAAAAGCGTTCGGATTTACCCCAGTTGACCCTATTTAATTAATTTATCATTTTATTTTTCGTTTATTTTAATTCTGTAATCAATGGTTATTTCGCAAATGATTTCAGATTATTGAACTTCATATTGCTTTCAATTTGAACTAAATTGTCAATTTATTTCGCCAATTGTGGGACTTACAATGTATTGAAGTTGCCACATTAATTTGGAAAATTAGGAAACATATAAATCATAAAGGTAATTCAGGTGGTTGAACCGATCACGCCACGATTAAAATGCAAATTTTGCTAAAACTCGCATGGAAACAACGAGGTGTTGATTACAAAATCAACCCTCCCACTACTTAAAATTACATACAAACAGGGTGTGATCGTGTCCACCAAATTATTCTTCAAGGAGTCTTAATTTGTTTTTCCCGCAAAGAGATGATGATGATGATTTTAAAGTTTTACTCCCACTGTGAGTGGTTGAGATTATTGTTTATTCCCCGCAGTAAGGGTTGAAATTGTCAAATTATCTAAAATTATAAAGTGTATATTCCACAATTTATGAAGTCGACTTTCATATAAAAAGTTCGTTGAAAAAGGAAGATTAATTGTCAAGTACAAAGTGTTATAAATGTTAAAGTGCAGAATCCTTTCCTATTTTTGAAAGTATTTATTATTATCACAATTGTTTATATCTCAACTTAACTGTTTGAAAATTCAGGTTTGGTGAACCCAATATTCTAAATTTTTAATAAACAGAATTTGAAATATTGAAATAATTGTTTAAAGACATTAAATAATACAAGTTTGTAAAAAGAAAATATATAAAATAAAGGAAGGTAAAAAGAACGACTTCCGCATATCTCACAGTCGTTTGACAAATAAGAGTTTTAAACTCTTAAGAGTTAGAAAAGTAATTTGATACTTTTCTGTATCATTTTAATTATTATTATTCAGGTGAATTGCTCTGAATTTATATACACTATTTGAAAATTACAGAATCTCATAAAACAAACACTATCACACTTACTTCAACTACACGAATTATTTTCTTGTTGTTAAAATTTTTCTTTTATTATTGCTGTCTTTATTGTGCTTGCTATAAATGATTTATTGTGAGACTTGAATTTCTAATTCAAGTAGCTTAACGTAGTATCTGTTTTTTATTGTAATCATTTTTATTAAAGATCAATTGGGGAACTGAATGAACACACTTTGGGGGTTGAATGAATAAACAGATTTCTTTTGTTTTGATAACTACGTTTCTATTTACTCAATCAGTCGTCGAGTAGATCCTTGTTGTACAGTTTTCACGTACGCGAAGAGGGGAAGCGATGAAAAGATGGCGAGCACTGAGAGCCGTGAGGCGCCAAAATGCCACGAGGAAAAATTCCTTGTAAATGGTCACTGAGCACTTTCCTATGAGTGTATCGTTGAGGTCGACACTTCGAAATCACACTATGCACCTTTTTTCACAGACTATCCGGCTCGAAGGACCAAAAAATGTTTGAAGGGGAGAGGAAACCTTGTGTTCGGTGAATTATAGGTCCGTTCAAAAATGCAAGGTGGAATAAATTTCGAGCAAATTATACACACACACAAATAGCGCTTTATTTTCTGGTCAACCAGAACGAAAAAAATAGAAACAGTATACACTTTAGTGAGGAATTTCCTTAACTGTCCACTAAAATTGTCTTTATGATATTCTCAGCTGGCGACCACGCCGCTCTGAGAGCACACCTTACACTTAAGATTAACCTTTTGATTCGCGACTTTTTAATATGTTAAGAGCAAAACCGATTGAGTAAAATACCTTATTGGAAACTTGAGTCGATAATAGAACTTGAGCTAGTGCAAAAGTAACCGATAATTACAAGAAAAATGCCTTGTGGTAAGAATAGATTTTAACCTCTTGAGATTTCTTTGAGAACTGAAAACATGCGTGCGCGATACAAACGACAATTAGCGCCCTCGCGTGGTCACTCGAGCGTAAATTCAAATATCGCGCACAACACCAAATTTCACTCATTCAATTCACTCAGAATTGAACAGTATTATTTCTAACTTTATTGTTTTCTCTTTAAATCATTTATTTTATTTTTGTTAATTAACTTCCCTCTGTAACACTTACGTCAAGACAAATCGATCAGTATATATAAAGTATAGTTTTTATTTAAATTTAAAGAATTAATGAAAGTTAAAAAATCAAATATTCACATTTTGGCTATAAAATTTTGTGATTATTTAAATTTAAGTTTATAGATGAAATAATTGTATTCCTTACATGAAAACGAATCGATTGGTATATATAAAATTTACATTTGAGGTAAATTTAATAAATTAATAAAAGTTAAAAAATAGAAAATATACATTTTAGCTGAAAATTTTTATATTTATTTAAATTCATGTTTATACATAAAATAATTGTGTTCCATGCATTAAAACGAATCGATATAATTGTAAATAATTATAAATTAAATATTATTTTTCATTAATATTTAGAAATTTCGGTCAAAATATGAATTTTTGATTTTTTAACTTCCATTAATTCTTTAAATTTTACTCAAATGTATAGGTACTCTAATGTTCCTATTATTATATTATTTTTGTATGTTTATTTCAATGTTAATACTTTTTTCACGAGGAAGCAAATTTTTTTGCTGATCGTAAAGAGGAAGCAAAATGTTCATGTAATGAACATCTGAATTTACAACTTGTGTAGTTTATTATATTTAATTTTTAACATAATACCACACGAAACTGTGGTAGGAACAACATATTAACATCCAATTAACATAGGAAATAGGACATAAGTTTTTATCTAGGAAACTTTTAATTTTGGAAAGATTTTAAATAGAAATTTTTGTACAATTTCATGAAGGAAATTAACATAGGAAATAGGATATAATTTTTTATGTAGGAAATTTATTAAATATAGGTAGGTTATCAGCTTGAAATTTTTATCAGATTTCATTTAGGAAATTGATATAGGAAATAGGACGTAAATTTTTATATACGAAATTTATTATTTTAGGTGGGTTTTCAATTGGAAATTTTTTATCAGATTTCATGAAGGAAATTAACATAGGATATAGGACGTAAGTTTTTATAGTTTTTATAGTTTATTTTTATCAGATTTCATGCAGAAAACTTATACAGGAAATAGTACGTAAGTTTTTATGTAGGAAGCTTTTAAATTTAGAAGGACTTTTAATAGGAATTTTTGTAAGATTTCATGTAGGAAATTAACATAGGAAATAGGACAGAAGTTTTTATCTAGAAAACTTTTAAATTTGAAAGGACTTTTAATAGAAATTTTTGTACAATTTCATGTAGGAAATTAACATAGTTAACATTAGTTAGGACATTAATATTTATGGAGGAAACTTTTTATTTTGGATGGACTTTTAATATGAATTATTGTACATTTTCAAGTAGGAAATTGATATAGGAAATAGGACATAAGTTTTATGTAGGATATTTTTAAATTTTTAAGAATTTTTAATAGGAATTTTTGTAATATTTTATGCAGGAAATTGATATAGGAAATAGGACGTAAGTTCTTATATAAGAAATTTATTAATTTTATGTAGGTTTTTAACTCCAAATGTTTAGCAGATTTCTTGTTGGAAATTGACATAGGAAATAGGACATTAGTTTTTATATTGAAAATTTGATAATTTTAGGTAGGATTTCAACTGGAAATTTTTATCAGATTTCATGTAGGAAATTACCCAGATAACAAAATGTTTGCTTTGTGCTAGCAATATTACTCGGATGCGTGCCGTTTTATTCTCAATGCGTGCGTTCAGAATATCACACAGATGCGTCATCATATGTGACGCATTACTGTCGCATTTCGTTATTAACACTTGTGTGATGGTAAAATGCGAATCATAAGATATTCAATTAAAATCAAAATGCGCGCACTATGCTAGTGAAATAGACCACTGACGAGCCGATCGATCTGCATTGTGTATTCAAATGAATCGCACAATGATTGTATATGAAGGAAATGCACCACCTTTATTTTGTCTATTTTTTGAAATGATTACAGGAAATTATATTATTTTTTGTATTACTTGGGCGTTAAAACACAAACAGGGTGCTCAGAATTACAAATTATTAATTTTTGACCAAAGCAGAAACCTTAGTAAAAATTAATGTCTATAAAAATGTAAAAATTTAAAATTGAACTTTTTTCACAATTTTTAATATTTTTTGTCGTCAATTTTTTACACTTTTTTAATAATTCTTCGGAATCTTTCGCATGGATTTCAAAAAATTCAATTCTTTCAAAAAATAAAGATTCTAAATTGGTCAAAAATTGAAATTTTTCTTCGTTAAACTCCTGTATGTTTTTAGAACCCAAATAATGCAAAGAAAAAATATATCTTCCTGTGATCATTAAAATTTAACGGGCTTCTTTAACAGCACACGATATTTAAGGATATACTGAATATCCGGATGCTGTTAAGGTCAAAATAAAGGTAGTGCTTCCCCTTAAGTGATTCATTCACCCAAGAAAATGATTTTTTTAAGTTTCTCCTTTTATTGCAATTGTTTAATTGAGGGAAATTGAAGGGTAGAATGACAAATGGGGTCAAGCGCCAATTTTTCAAAATTGAGGTTTTTTCATTAAAAAATCAAGTAAATTCTTGTACACATTTTTGTAATAGTAATAGTTCTGATGACAATAATTGTTAATATTTAAATTTAAAAATTAGAGTATTGCTCAATTTTCAAACCAGAATACTTAATTCTCAATTTTCTTGAAAATAAATAACTTCTTTGAAGCAATCTTTTTTTATTCAATTCGTCGAATCAATAGAAAGAAACTAATTTCCCACATTTTCTTTAAATTGTATATTTTTTCACAATTAATGCTTAAAGAAAATGTGCGCAGTTGATATAACCTCAAAGCACCAGAGTTTTTTTTTACTTTTCTCATTAATATGTAGGTATATTTTAACAAATTGTTGTTTATTTATTAAAACATACTAATATCTCGAAACGGTTTTCTCAGTTTTTTTAAATGACCTGCAGAATTTTTAAATATGTTTTTTTTATTTCCTGTAAAAAAAGTGAATTGGCGCTTGACCCCTTTTGTCATTCTACCCTTCAATTATTCTTTTGATATTAAAAAAATCTTGGCTTCAATTGAAAAATATTTTTATTTTACCAAATTGAACTAACTGAAAAAAATTTTCAGGTGGAAATTCATGTAGTGATTAAAACTATGCGGGCACAAATTTAAATGAAAATTTGTTCATCTTTTAAACTTTCAGGGATATTAAAAAATAGTTATCAAATTTAATTTTGAGACTCCAAAAGGGTGTAAGTCCTGATTATCCACGTTATCAAAAAGGTTCTTAAATACATTTGATGCTTATTTAGATTGTAAAAAATTCCTGACGGATTCCATCTAGATCGCTTCAAATCTCGACGTGGATTTCCACGTGATAAAACCTAGGCAAATATTTTCGCGATAAATTTCATTAATTTAAAGAGGAGTATTTATATGTAAAAAAAATTTGTAATTTTTATTCATAGTTTTGATTATAAAATTCTATATAATATAAATTATTATAATTATATATTTTTATAAAATTTAAAAAGAAAAGAACACTAATAAACCGAAAAAACGATACTGAAATCACAATGTTTTTGTTATAATTTTTGTTTTACAAAAATTTCTTTTCCAATCATTAAGGTAGTATCCCACTGTGACGCACGAAATTTCGATGCATTATTTACAAATTTTTTTAAGCGGGTAAATAAATGGCGATCGTTACTAAATTTGGATATGTTTTTATTGGCGCCTTAAACTATATAAAAAACTTTTGTTTACAACAATTTACCTTAATGTGTTACTAATTTTTAACGTCGAAGTAGACTCCTCGGAAAAAAACAAAAAATTTTTGGTACACTCCAGGGCCTTTCGCAGTCACCTGAAATGAAAAAATTAAAGATATTATTGTTCTACAGGCATAAATAAATAAATAAACTTTATTCTAAATTGAACTCATCAGCTCCATAAACTTCTTTATCGTCATCGCTACCATCATCTTCATCATCACCATCCTCATTATCATCCTCATTATCATTGGCATTATCTTCATCTTCTTCACCTTCGTCTAAATTGCTGGCTTCCAATTCTAATATTGCTCTTTCTAATTCGTCGGCTGTAGACGGTAGGTTTTTTTTAATATTGCTTCGATAGCGCTGTTTTGTGTGCCGCAGTACTTCGAACATGTGGGACTTATAATCTTCCTTATTTAAAGGTCCTTTTAAATTCATGCACTGTTTAGCAGATTCTGAAAAATGATTATGTACTTTTAAGATACATTTTTAATCAAATCAATAACTGACATTAAATTTTCATGAAATATTATTGAATTTATAACAATCGTAATTATTTATAGCTAAAAATTAATTAGTAATACATACGATATAAAACATTCGCAAGTCTCGTGTTGCCAAAATTCATGGTGTCCTTTTTCCCATTCCATGTAAAATTACAAACAAGTTTATCTGTCAGTGTTTGACGCAACGCATTAGACAAAAAACTTCTCAGAGAAGTTCCTCCGTTATTAAGTAAATGATTATACTAAAAATAAAATTATTAAGAATACTAATTTATCAAACAGTTATTTTATTGAATAATATTGAAAGGTAAAACATGTGTCTTACGAGTTTCGTACGAGTCTCTTTCCCCTCTTCAGATTCAAAAAAATTAAATTCTGAAAACTCGTTTAAAGGGTAACCTGTGAGTGGTGATAAGAACGTTTCCGATAATTTCTCCTTTTCCACATTGTTTATTCTATTTAATTCTTGGAAAATCATGTATTGTTGTTGTAAAATCTGTTGATTTTGTGCTTCCAAGGAACTAATAAAATGCAAAAATAATATGTTTATTTATTACTAGAGGTGTGTAAAAAGCTCGAATGGCCGAGCTCGAGCTCGGCTCGATGTGTCGTGTACTCGGTTTTTCGAGCACTCGAGTGAATTCGAGTACTCGAACATAGTCCATATTAAGGCAACATTGCCTAAACATAGCCGGGCAATATTGACACAATATTGAGATCATATGTTGTGCTATTTGGATATACATGTATATTTTACACCCTTTATGAATTAGAAATTAATGAAAAATTGAAATTTACACGGGGGTTCGAATATTTCGAGTACTCGAAAATGTTCGAGCTTTTTACACAGCTCGGCTCGAAAAATAAAAAGCTCGACCGAGCTTCGAGCTTTTTGCACACTTCTATTTATTACGCATGCTAAAATATTTTTAAAAATAGCATTATAAAAACATAAAATTATAACATTATAAAACTTAAAAGTGATTAAGTATACTAATGATGCAAAATACATTTAAATTAGCAATGTACCCAGTAAAAAAAATAATTGGGAGTGAGGAAAAATAATTGGGAGTTAGCTTACTTTGTATTCGGTTTGGCGTCTAAACCGTGTAGGGACGTTACGGACAATTATTTTTTCTTACCCTGAATTCTTTTTATCTGGATTGTTTGAATTGATGTTTGTTGATCAAAATTTGCAATACAAATGAATAGAATGCATGTTCCAAAGTGTCAAAATGCCGATTTGGAATAAGAAATGTGAAATTTTATGAAAACGACAAAATGTGAAATATGACAGATTTATCGACAATTTTACCATGTGAGTAGTGTTCATATGATAAATTTACCATACGAGCATTTCTTATTCCAAATCGGCATTTTGACATTTTGGAACATGCATTCTATTCATTTGTATTGCAAATTTTGATCAACAAACATCAATTCAAACAATCCAGATAAAAAGAATTCAGGGTAAGAAAAAATAATTGTCCGTAACGTCCCTACACGGTTTAGACGCCAAACCGAATACAAAGTAAGCTAACTCCCAATTATTTTTTTTTTACTGGGTACTTAATTTTTTAGCAACAGTTGTAAAAGCAACTATGAAATTGTTTTATGTGTGTATATGTATTATGAATATTATAAATAATGTTTCATGTACTCAAGTCTTTGTAGCATCAACAGGAGCATGTTGTAACATCCTTCTACAGTGGTAGACTCTACAGGCACTTTTCTAAAAACATTATCAACATATTAATAATACACATTTACATTTTCACTGTTTTTAAAGTCAATAACCGACTTCTGGCTGCTAAATCACTAAAATATCACTGAAAATCAGTAAAATTTCACTGATTGGGTAGCCAGAAGTTGGTTACTGATTTCAAAAGAGTGAAATTTTCACTGATTCAGATTAAGAGAGCTAGGAATAATTGTTTTATTATGTTGGATTTATTAACTTTTTAATTTGTATAAGTAGGGTAAACCAGACAGTATTCGGCCACTTTAAAATTTTAAATAGTTAGAATACTATGAGATATAAACAATTTGTTTGTTTCTATACATTCGTAGTATCATTATGAACAAGTCTATGCTTTTGTAAGTGTAAAAAAATTATTTTTTGAAGTTTTTTAAAGGTGGCCGACTACTGTATGGTTTACCCTAATTTATATTAATAAAATGAGACACAAATAAAAAAATGATTGTTTGTTTATATACATATTATGTTTGCCTCAAAATTTCGACAACTCATTATGCCTTTACTGTAGATTACAATATGGGAACCTGAATAGGATCTTTTATAAACTTCTTATAAGACACGTCATATGAGAGTTCATATAGAACTCTATAAGAGATCCAATATAAAAATTGGTAAAAATTATATTTATATAAAACATTGTATTTAAATTTTGAACAATTTCGAATTTTCAACTTTTTTTATTTCTCAATTATTTTTGTTTATAAAGATAAATATTTTTGTATTCAAAATTTTATAAGTTATTGAGTGTCCCTGACCGTTTTATATGTATAAAAAAAATTGTTTTTCAAAATATTTAAATACATTCATTTATTCATTCATTTAAAATCAATTATTGTCAAATATTCAATTTTAAAGAAAGTTTTAATCAGTATTTAAATTTCAAAAATTTGTGAAATTAAATTTTTAGTTGTTCGTTATTTAAACTTTTATAGATGACATATATGTGGTTCAATTAAAAATTATATCTGAAATTCATTGAAAAGTGCAAAAAATCATTCATTACTTAAAAGATAAACAAATAAATTGTCAGAATATTGTGATATTAATAATGAATGGGCAATGTATAGAGAAAAGTCTGACATTTCATTTCGCACAAGGATTTAAAAAAAGAAATACTCACTCTATAGTTTCGTTCGTAGTTTTGAATAAAGTTCTTTTACGTGGTTCATCTAGAGGTTTTTGTAATTAGTCTATAAACTCGTTTGCAGAAAACACTTGGACAGTATTATTAGACAGCGAAGGCTCTTCAAATTGCGTTGATGAAATTTGCTCTTTAAGCATGACTTCATTTAGTTGTTGGCCATTGGTCAAAAGAGCAAGATTTACAGGAGTTTTCCTAAAAAATGTCAAATTATTATTTTTTAAAGATTGTCGGTCTAAATAAAGATTTGAGAAATACTCTTCAAGGTATTGTACAGACATAAATTTTTTTAAACAAATGGTTTGAAATTTTTGGTAGCGTGAAAAACAATTTTTGATGCTGAGCGTCGACGTCAACTTCAAGCAATAAAAATAATAAAAAATATATCACTCAGTTGTACTTTAAACAATAAGAAAGAAAATATCGATCACTTCGAATTCAAAATAAAACTATTTTTTATTTTACTTTTCAGCAGCACTGCTGCCCTCTTTAGAAACTAGAAATTTATTTATAATAAAAATATTTTTGTGAACAAAATTATCCTTTCACAAACGAACATTAAAGAAGAAGACAAAAAAAGGAAAAAAAATATATAAAAATATACCATTAAAATAATAATAATATAAATTTAAAATTTAATATAATAATAACGATATAACATCAACGTCCGCTTAATTACAATTAGAAACTAAGTACAGTACAGAAATTTGAATTTAATGCAAGCTAGATTAATGAACGAAAACAATATCATTAGCACCTATTAATTAACATTAAGTTTTTGCAATATGTAAAATCTCAATCTAAAATATATGCACTACTTACACTGATGTCCCAAGAGAAGTATGACTTGAAACTTCATTAAATGCTTCAGATGATTTAAATAAATCTAGAATTGTTATATTTGGAGGCGCTAACACCACTTGATTTGAAGGCTCCCCAAAATGTGTTGGTAAAATTTGCTCTTCAACTAATACTTTCTTTTGTTGAAGGTTATTGTTTACAACAGAATTAGTTTTTATAGTTGGTCCCCTAAAAAATTTATCAAAATATTGATTTTTTTCTTACGACATGTGATTGTATTATTTTTTTTCCTAATTATAGATATAGATATAGATATAGATATAGATATAGATATAGAAGGTGACATTTTTCCTGCAACTAATTTTGCTTTTGAATGTTGATCAATAGGTTTGATAGTAGTTTTTGTAATCTTTTTCCTGTAAATGTAAAGAAACTTTTAAACATATTTTATAATATAATTAACTTTAGAAAAGAGTGAAGTTTTTTATTTATAACGAAAAATATGTACCAATTCCTGGCGGGAAATTCAAATTAAGTAATTATTATGTACTCATCAAATATCACAAATAAAAGTATTTAACAATTTATTATAAATATTGTAAAATATTATAGAATAAATATCAGCAATTAATAAAATAATAATTTATAATAATAAAAATTTATTTTATTTGAATTTCCCGCCAGGAATTGGTACATATTTTTCGTTATAAATAAAAAACTTCACTCTTTTCTAAAGTGAGTTATATTATAAAATATGTTTAAAAGTTTCTAAATTAATTTTATGCACAAATAAACACGATTAAATAAACTTTAATAAGTGAGAAGTAAATTTTTGTGTGTTATCCCATGAATTTTCATTGAAATGTTCCCACTACACAGCCAGCGCCACCGGTGGCAACGGTCAAATCTGGTCTGAGTTTCAACTCAAGAGTGTCACCGGGGTGGTAAAAATGATAAACGGTATTGGGACTGCGAAAAAGTAAGGAGGAAAGAATGTAAGGAGCGGGCAATCACCCAGCACACTGAAACGGGAATAATTGTTTTGAAGGGTCCAACAGGCGAAAAAAAGTCTGAACATTCACATGCGCCAAATCAAGAAAATTTGAAGGCGGAAATTGTTAAGGTTAATTTGAAGCGAAGGGCAGAAGAGCAGCCAGAATGCCCACCAGCTCAGGTATTGTAATTTCATTACTTTAGTCTTTATTATTACTACTACTACTGTAATTATTGTTCGTTTTCATTTTCATTAATATTATTTATTGTACTGAATTGCCTCTATTTTTTAAACCAGATCTTGCGCGATAATCTTGGGAATTTGAGTGCTGCAATTTTGGCAAAACTTCCTGAACGCGAAAATTTAAAAAAGAGTATGAGGAGAGAAAGAAGGCGTCAATTACCTCCGAATCCAAAAACTTTGGAAGATGTCATCGAACTTCCTGAATTTTACCGCAAAACATTATCGAACGAACGCTTTCTTATTTACGATTCTCGAGAAGATGAAACCTTTGGCGATGGTCGCGTTTTAGTGAAAAAATGGATTGCACTTCAACAACGCTTCACGTCAATTGCGGAAAAATATGAAACACACAAGGAAAATAATGAAAGACTAAAATATTTAGAAAACTTTGCACACAACATTCAATTATCCTAATTTTTTGGCTCAGACTTGTAATTTCTATTCACCACTAAGGCTGCAGTCCCATGGCAGCGTTTTGCGTTGCGTTTTGTCACTAGACCATGAGTGTAAAAGAGATGCAGATATATGTTTGCTATGTTTACACTCAGGGTCTAGTGACAAAACGCAACGCAAAACGCTGCCATGGGACTACAGCCTAATTCTCGGAAACTTTTAAATTTGGAAGGATTTTTAATAGAAATTTCTGTACAATTTCATGTAGAAAATTAACATGGGAAATAGGACATAAGTTTTTATCTAGGAAACTTTTAAATTTTGAAGGACTTTTAATATGAATTTTTGTAAGATTTCATGCAGAAAATTGATATAGGAAATAGGACGTAAGTTTTTATGTAGGAAACTTTTAAATTTAGAAGAATTTTTAATAGGAATTTTTGTAAGATTTCATGTAGGAAATTAATATAGGAAATAGGACGTAAGTTTTTATAGAGGAAATTTATTAATTGTATGTAGATTTTCAACTGGGAATTTTTAAATGATTTTATAACATAGGAAATTAACATAGGAAATAGGACATAAGTTTTTATCTAGGAAACTTTTAAAATTGGAAGGATTTTTAACACAAATTTTTATACAATTTCATGTAAGAAATTAACATGCGAAATAGGACTTAAGTTTTTACGTAGGAAACTTTTAAATTTTGAAGGACTTTTAATATGAATTTTTGTAAGATTTCATGCAGAAAATTGATATAGGAAATAGGACGTAAGTTTTTATAGAGGAAATTTATTAATTGTATGTAGATTTTCAACTGGGAATTTTTAAATGATTTTATATAGGAAATTGACATGGGGAATAGACAAAGAAATTGACATAAATATTTGACAATAAACATGTAAGAATGTACATAAGAATCCACATGGATTTCTATGTGGAGACAGAAACGCAAATTATCATATAAAATCCTAATCAAAATCGTGTCCTAATTTTAGATAGGTTTTTTTTATGGAATTCCATATGGATTCCTATAATCAACATGGATTTTTATATGGGTTTTGAAATAGGAATCCACATAGGATCCTTTGTGGGAATTTTCAGTAGGGTTTAGAAATTGTCAGTTTTTCCTGAATTTTTCAACTTTAACTGATGTTTACGGCATTAATTATGTATTAAACATTTTTTTCTTCATGTAATATTCTAGTGTACTAAATTGTGCGTCGAACGAGCCCTATTTGAATAGTTTTCTTTAAAAATTGACTGATTTATTGCAGTTTTTCTATTGCAAAGACCAGTAGCAAATTTAAGTATTTGTCAGTTTTCCTTGTATAATAATCATTTATTTAATTAAAAATTTAATTTACGTACCTGTAATGATTTACATGACTACTTAAAAACGTCATTGAATTATAATATTCAAAATTATTTTCTTCCTCTGTTGCCTCTAACAGTAAACATACCCAAGTGTCAAACGCCGATTTTGATCAAACTTTGCATACATCAAGAGGGATGAAAAATGATATACACGTATATTTTGATATCGGCGGTAACTCATTTTTAAGGGTAGAAACTATCTCTTCAGTTTTAAGGGATGAAAATTCAATATATTTCTTTAAATTGCTTGGATTTGCTTGAAACTGGTACTCGGAGGTTTTCGGGGTTGCTGATTACGAAAATGAATTTAGAATTTTTAAATTCAAAATGGCGGATCCAATATGGCAGACGAATTTGTTAAAAATTTATTGAATTCGCTTGAAACATGTTACTCGGGGGTTTTTAGGGTCGCTGAGTACGAAAATGAAGTCAGATTTTCAAAATTCAAAATGTCGGATCCAATGTGGCGGACGAATTTATTAAAAATTCATTGAATTCGCTTGAAACATTTTACTCGGGGGTTTTTGGGGTCGCTGATCACGAAATTGAAGTCAGATTTTCAAGATGCACAACAGCGGATCCAATATTAATATTTTGTAGCCTTTAAAAAGGCTGAGTCATATAACACTGTGCGACAGCCGAAAAATACTTTTTATCGGACCTACTAGAGGTTGTAGGTAACAAAAAACTAAGAAGAATGGTATATTAAAAATTTCCCTAACACCCCTAAATTTTAATTTTAGAGCCAAAAAACCGTTTTCACGTATATTTATGACTAAAACGCATGTAATTTTTTTTTGCACCGATTTAGAGTTTTTTTTTATTTTAAAGCTAAAAAGCAGGGCTTTTTAACACACATAGAGTTTTTTTGTTAAAAATAATATTTACAAAAGAAAAGTTAGAAGAAAGTTTAGAAATTGTCAGTTTTTCCTTAATTTTTCATCTATAACTGATGTTTACGGTATTAATTCTGTATTAAACATTTTTTTCTTCATGTAATATTCAAGTGTACTAAATTGTGCGTCAAACGAGCCCTATTTGAATAGTTTTATTTAAAAATTGACTGATTTTTTGCAGTTTTTCTATTTCAAAGACCAGTAGCAAATTTAAGTATTTGTCATTTTTCCTTAATTTTTTTATTCTTAATTGTTTTATATAAAGTGCTTCTGAAGTTTTGACCATTTTTTTGTATTTTGGTCTTTTTAAGAATAAGTTTTTCTGTAAATATTAATTTTATTTTTCATAAAATAAAGATGTAGCTACCCAAGATGCACGTAATATAACCTCAATATCAAGGTAATATTACATGTAAGATTCGTAATATAACGTTGTAATATTACAGTAATCTTACAGTGATCTTAAAATGTCCGCCTGAAGGTAATATTACCGGTAATGTTACTGTAATATTACGCGCTAATATTAAGGTAATATTACAGTAATATTGCAGTAATATTATACCGTAATATTAAGGTAATATTACAAGAGAATATTACAGTAATATTATGGGAACATTTCTTTACGAAAAAAATCTACCCATCCAGGGAATCGAACCCCGAACTCAAAGCACACGAGTCCAGAGTTTTACCAACAAGCCAAATTGACTTATAATATATTTACGTTTTTCATGCTTTATGAATAACTCAAATCAGTCTGTAATATTACTGTAATATTACCGTTAATATTACTGTAATATTACCGTTAATATTACTGCAATATTACCGTTAATATTACAGTAATATTCCCGGTAATATTACCTTGAGGCGGACATTTTAAGATAACTGTAAGATTACTGTAATATTACAGCGTTATATTACGAATCTCACGTGTAATATTACCTTGATATTGAGGATATATTACGTGCTTCTTGGGTAGCCTCAAAAATGAAATTGAAACATCAATAAAAATACATTTTTTACACTTCCACTTGGACTTCTTTCCCGTAAACCTTGGTCAAGTAAGTGATAATCAAGGTGAAAGATTTCATCAAGAAATTTATAAACATTTAGTTTATTCTTCCACAATTATTTAATAAATTAGTTTTTCGATTTTTTGAAAGATGTAAGGTAGAAGAAAAAAACAATCTTTCACTTTTTTAAATATTTGAGACAACGTTTCGGTGGTCTGGTCCGCCACCATCATCAGGTTACTTTAATAAAAATTATATTCAAATAAGTACAACACAATTTTAAATTCAAAATTATATCATTAAACAAAAAATTAAAAAATAAAATTTTTTACCTAATTAAAATCAATAAATAAACATAACATCAATAAATAAAATCAAATAAATAAACAAAATACAACAAAAATATAAAATATTTAAATTTACAAATCACAAACATATTGATAGAAGTGATTAGTCAAACTGACTGACTCGATGACAATTTTCGCATTATAAACAGACGATAGGGTCAATGACCAGCAATCGAAATATTATGAATTATAACCATTATTTCAATTTATTGAGCAAAGAAAAATAGGTATAAAATGGTAATAAAATAGTAAATGGTAATAATGGTTATAATTCATAATATTTCGATTGCTGGTCATTGGCCCTATCGTCTGTTTATAATGCGAAAATTATCATCGAGTCAGTCAGTTTGACTAATCACTTCTATCAATATTTTTGTGATTTGTAAATTTAAATATTTTATATTATTGTTGTATTTTGTTTATTTATTGATGTGATGTTTATTTATTGATTTTAATTAGGTAAAAATTTTTTTTTTTAAATTTTTTGTTTAATGATATAATTTTGAATTTAAAATTGTGTTGTATTTATTTGAATATAATTTTTATTAAAGTGACCTGATGATGGTGGCGGACCAGACCACCGAAACGTTGTCTCAAATATTTAAAAAAGTGAAAGATTGTTTTTTTCTTTTACCTTACATCTTCCAAAAAATCGAAAAACTAATTTATTAAATATATAAATAATAAAAAACACTTCTAAGGGAAAAGCACAGTGAATATGATCTCCGAATATTGATAGACGCTTAAATGTCACGAGGACGATTTGAAGATGAAAATAAAAAGGCTGAATAAACACTTTTTCAAAATAGCACAAGGCTACAAAAAAAAAATTTCGGTTGTCAGAGATCGAGGTGTCATTTCCCGTAGTTTTTGGTGCGCTGAATTCGAATCTGGCGACGAAAACTTTCCATCACGTCAGGATTTTGAGAAAAGTGGGAATAAAATTCCCAAAAATCACATTTTTGGCAGTTTTGGAAAATTCGTACCGTGTAAAACCGACGTGCTAGAGACTTGTCTTAGGAGTCGAATTAAAGCTTGATCCGTGTACTTGACGAAGATATAGCGATATTGACAACAACAAACTAAATTAGCTGTCAAAAATGATTTTTTAAGTTGTAAAACTCAAAAATTGACTCACAATGTCCGTAAATACAACTATTTTAAAAAATAATTGGATTCGCTTGAAAATTGTTACTCGGGGGTTTTCGGGATCGCGGATTAGTAATAAGATGTCAGATTTTTAAAATTCAAAATGGCGGATCCAATATGTTGTATTCAATCGATTTTTAAAAATGTCGTCCGCCATATTCGATCCGCCATTTTGAATTTTTAAAAACTGACATTTTATTAGTAATCCGCGATCCCGAAAACCCCCGAGTAACCCCCGCTTGCAATGAAAGGTTGCTGCAAGCTGTCAAAAAATGTTGCCGCAATCTTCCAATAAAATATTGCTGCAAGCTTTCAAAAAAATGTTGCTGCAATCTTGCAATGAAAGATTGTTGCAACCTTGCAGTGTAAGTTTAATGTAATCTTGCAATGAAAGGTTAATATATTGTTAACACAAGCTCACAACATGCTTGCTGCATGAAAGGTTGCTGCAAGCTGTCAAAAAATGTTGCCGCAATCTTCCAATAAAATATTGCTGCAAGCTT